TTAAGTATACTCGATGTACATAAAAGAACATCTGATGATACCCATAAATCACATAAAATTAAACCAAGTTTCCATGAACGATCACGTTGATAACAATAAATACTTAGTGGAAGAACAAATATTGCAACTAAAGCATCAGCAAAAGCTAATGATGCTATAAAATAATTAGTTACTGTTTGTAAACGACGTGTACGAAAAAAAGCACATATTACAAGTAAATTGCCAAGAAATGCACTTATATCGATTAATATCATGCATGTTAAAGTTACTATTCGAAACCACACAGGCATTGTTGATGCTGTTGTTGTTGTTGTTGTTGTTGCATTAATGTTAAATGTAACATTAGAAAAATCGACATATGATGCAGATGTTAGGGTACCCATGATAATCATTCATGATGCATATCTTAAAATTTAACTAAATGAATTTTTTTTCTGTCAAAAATAATGTAGAATGACAAAAAAGAAATTGATCATCTTTAGGGCATATCAAAAAAAGGAAAGTGACGACAACTATAATAACTCTTTCTTACGTTTGTCTCCTCATGCCTTTTCTTTTTCTGAGACGTCACTCAATTAATCCTCAATTCTCATTCTTGCTCTAGGAAAAAAAAAGTCACACTATAATTATATATTCTTCTCTCATTCTAGCTATCATAATATCGTCAATAACTAAAAGCATTGTTGAATAGTATGATTTTATTTTCAGTCTCTATCACCTTTTATCATTCAAGAATCTATTGGATATTGCTTTCATCAAATGATCGTCTCTAACTACTTATTATAAGAAAAGAAAAAAAATATTATATGTTAAGAAAACAAGAAAGTGTAGGATAATAAGATCGACAATCCTATCATCATGGTATACAAGAAAATCTTTAGTCACAAATAGTGTTGCATATAGCAGAAGGCTTGCAAATAAGACATCATCATCATTATCACCAATGGTTTTTTTTTTATTATGCTTTTATTGAATTTATTGTGCCATACGAAAGCATTGACAACGAATTTCTACTAAAGCAAGATAAGAATACTAAATGAGAAATAAACGAATTTTCTTACAATAGAATCATATAATACAACAGAAGAAAGGCAGGAGGTAAACTAATTCATTATAGCTCCTAGCTGAGTACACGGATACTGTTTTTTGTCTATGAAAGAATAAGAGTGAATCAATGATTTATGACATATATGTGTCAACTATTTGTCTCTCTCTCTGTCTCGATTAAAGATCATGTTATTGACTTCTATAAGGAAACGAATACATTTGAAAATATCCTCACATTTGATCTCATAGACAATTAGCTTACTATTACGTAAGCATAAAAATTAAGAGAGATGAACAAGTATTATATTCTTATTCATATAATAAACTCTAAAAAACAAAATCAATCTATTAACTATTCCATCAATAAACATATTAGAAATTTTATATGAGAAAACTTTATTATAGTTGTAAGTTCTTCGTTCTCTTATAAAAACATAGATAAAACTAGTTGCTCAATTTCTATGACAAGCAAATAGATTCGCTGTGTTATTATGTTCAATATAGAACGGAAATTCCGAATGCTTTTTGTTTGGTATCAATAATAGGTAAGCATGCAAAGTTATTATCGATAATGAAGCTGCTTTTTTTTATTTCAAATGAGTACTCGTTAGTGATAAAGAAGAAAAGAATTAGAAGCATAGAAACAAAATAAAAGCATTATAGTCGCATAAACAACGCAAAGTCGAATTATTCATCGATCTTTTTCTGTTTTTTTTTCTAATACTTATATCAACATCGAATTAGCAATAGCATGCACCGATGCTTTACAATACACTCTATTGGTTACAAATTGACATCGTGCATTCCATTTTAAAAAAGACCTAATCTAATAAAATATGAACAATGTGACATTCAAGGTTAATAGACAACATGTGGATATATGATGAAATTTTTTTTTTTGTTAAACATAAAGTTTTTCTTCAATCTTAATTGAACGAAATCAAACAAAAACCTAGACAATAGTACGTAAAATAGATATGAGTTTTATTTTATCGCTTTACATATAGATATAATTAAAATATGTTTATAATACGACGATGATTACATTTATCGGTATTGTAGATTTTTCTGTAGACAAAAAAAGTACACTATACATATGACATTAATCCAATTTAATGTATTTTCAACCCATCTCATGTTACATCTTTTAATTGAACTCTTCAGACAATAACAAGCATATTCATAGTAGAATAGAAAAAAAAAAGAAAGTGGCCTTATAATAGACATGTTGCGCTTTTCTACTGAAATTCTTTCATGCGATCTTATCTTCTGGAAATTCCATGAGACAATCATGTTCGCATGAGCAGGTACACTTATTTTTTATTTTATACTGATTATTTTTTTTTATTGGTTTACGAAATAAATATGTTCTTCTTTGATTATTATAAATGATGATAAGATCAAAGAAGAAAAAAAAATATTGGAAAACAATTTTTTTCAATTAATTTAAAACATTTCTATTGGTAAAACAAAAGAATGAGATTATATCTGATGATTGAAATCTTTATGCAAGATTTCTTATTGTTCGCTAACAAATAATAATAGAAGTACTTTTGACTCTATGTAAAAAAATTGTTAAATATAGTCTAATATGCAAGAGTGTCTCGAGATTACCAGGGTTAGAGATTGATGATCTAGGAAGTCGATTAGAAGATTTTTGCTAAAAGTGACCGGCTTTGGGAGGATTTGAGCGTTTTGGTTTTGGGGAACTGATAATTAAAAAAAAAGTAATAAAACACTGAAACTCTGCTAAAGAAAAATGGAAATTTTTCAAGATTGTAAGGTCATCTGCTCGGGACATTCCTGCTTATATGGATGCTATGCTTGACTAATTCTCATACGAACAAAACCAACATGTCATCTTATTCTTATAATTTTCATAAAAGTATTGCTAAACTATGCTGCATGCTTTTCCATATGTTATGCAAGAATTGACTATAATAAGCACAATGCTAAGGGTATGTCATTTAATAAAAGATAATATTATAGAGCTTTTTGCTTTTAGCAATGAATTTCTACTTTATCAACATATAATGTTCATCAGTATTTTAATTCTACTAGTTATGATTTTCAATAACGATCTGAAGAATTGATATAACTTTAATCATAGAATAGAAAAAAAAAAGAAAACGTTTTGTTTCTTACAAACTCTTGAATAATATTAAGTCTTATGAGAATGGTACGAAACTGAAATATGATTGTATATAGTTGAAGACTACTAAAGAAATTTCTAAAATAATTTAAAAAGAAGTATTAAAAAACCCAAATAAAAGTTCCATCAAGTAGATCTTCAACTTTTTTTCTGTGATAATTAAAAATTTTATCGTGATGCCTATATTATTAATTCATTGCATGAATATATTTTATCTTGTTTTTAATTTTTTCAAAGAAATTAGGTAGATTAGAAAAAGAATTTGAATTAGTTTAAGTTATTTTTAAAAAAATCAAAATATATTAGAATTAAAAATAATATTGTCTAGATAAAATTTTAATAAAATAATAATCAATTTTAAAAGGATTTGTGTCCTCAAATAATATATTAAATATATTTCAGTTTTCTTTTTTTTTTTTTTCTTTACTTACGTAGAGAAAAGAACTTCATGATTAAACGCTGTGGTTGACAGTCTTCTTAAAACACTTCTACTGACATTTCTAGTTGAACACATTTAAAGAAAGTGGCTTCGTTAGTTTTTTTCTTCTTCCTCTTTTTTATCTCTTTTATTTTATTGAGCAAACGAGAAGAGAAAAATGACTAGCATCGTCAAATTGTCACCAAACTCCTATAACCAAATAAGAAACTGTTAAAACATATTTTTAACTGAGATAGACAATATCATTTTCTTACCTGAATGATTTTTTAGTGTCACAAGCACCTGCTCTATTTAACAAGAAAAATATCAGTTGACTTTATCTTACAAGTGAATACTATTGAGAGTGATGTGTGTGATTATGTGATATAAGAAGAAAAAAAAATCACGACAAAAAGAAAGACAGTAACAAGGGAAATTAACATGAAAATAGAGAAAATTGCGCCAGCTTATATGATTGACAACGGCACAAGGCGTGGTTATATAAACATCATGTTGTCTGTTGCTTGTCACCAAATATAGATGATAATAAGAGAAAATGAAGACGAACAAACAATTTTTTTTTCAGATTATACTTATGTATATATATATATATAGATAAGTTAGCAAGTGAATCTTCTTTGATTTTTGGTATATTGTTACAAGATTGAATATGTCCTTGATTTACAAAGAAAAAAAAAGAAAAGGAAAATAAGAAGCCTTATTAGAAATAGTATATTCATACATTGAAATGACTATTTAATACTAATATTTATTGACATTCATCAATGAAATCAATCTACTTTTAAGCTTCAGAAAAAATTTCTCAATAGGATCAGAGAGTGACTTTTTTTTTAATTATTTCATGTTGATAGCTAATCATCATTCCCTTTCTTGTTTAGCACACAATAAGTTTTGCCAAAGAGCGAGAAAAAAACAAAAAAGAAATCCAGAGCAAATCTTTCATCACTGAGACGAGTATCAATTTTTGTCTTGTTCGGCCCGTTAATATTTTGTCAACCTAATCAAGTCATACGCCTGATAACTTAATTCGACAGCTGGCTACAAATGAGAACTCTGCTTTTTTTCTCCGGTTTTCTCTGTTTGATATATACAGACACAAGTTGTATGCAAAGGTCAAGTTAGCTATAAAATAATCGATTCCATCAATAATCTCATGATAACATTTGTGTACATAGAAAATAATCGCTTTATTTATTTAAACATTCAAAGAGAGACACTGAAAATTGATAACATGTGCTAAGAGAAAAAAAAAGAAAAAAAACATGAAAATCTGACATTTTATGTTGTGTATACATATTATTGGTTTAAAGAATTATTTTTGTTTTCATCTTAAATGTATAAAAAAAAATGATAATACGGTAATTAAATATAGACTTTTTGTCGTTTTGATACTGGAGATTCATCGATAATATTTAGTTCAATACCACTATCATGTTCTGACATTATGGACTAAAAAGTAAACATTTTTAGTAAAAAAAAGAAATATTAATTGATGAAATTAATCATAAACATACATTAAAAATATTTGTTAAATATTCACATTGTTCACTTTTACGTTGTAATTGTTCATTTTCTTTAGTTAATTCATCAAGTAATTCATGAAGCTAGGAAGAAAAATAAATATTGGTCTTCGTGTTCCTTTTTTTCATATTTATTTTCTATGTAAAATACTTGTTGGTTTTCTTGTAATTGATCTTCAAGTTTTATACGAGAACGTTCAGCTAATATTCTCCAATAACAATCTGACGCGTGAACTATAATATAAAAATTAAAAAATCGTATTTTTTAAAATAATCTGATTAACAAAAAAAAAGAAAAGCTTTATATTTTCTATTCAAGCAAAAGAAACAAAAGAGGATCCTATTACATGAGAATATTTAATTCATAAAATAATCTCTTTAATCAGAATAGAGTGAATCTAACAGAAGTGATTATTATAATATGTAAAAATTATTTTGAGCAGAATTTTTACGCAAAGCAAAATATGATATGCTATGAAGAGACATTCAAATATTAATAAATAAATAAATAAATAAATAAACCACAACCATAGACCTGTGTATAATCATAATCTATCGAATTAAGCATTCTTTAATAAAAATCTAATATTTATTTTTGAATTAAATATGATTAATGAGAATTCATAGACTAAGAAGCAATAACTTCTATATTTGATTAGTATTAAAAGACAACCATTGGTTTGTTGGTATAATTTCATATGGGTATTTATTTGAAAAATAAAAGATTGACTACCTTTTCTTTTTATGTCAAAATTTAAAATGAAAACAAAAATTCTACCTATAATAATTTATTTCTAACATTTATTCGTTGCCTATTGTAAAAACTTGTTAAAATCGAAAATCAAATAAATATTAACAATAAACATGTTGATAGAAAATAAGATAGAATCATCAAAATAAACAAACTATGAAATTTTTTTTGTATCAACATGGAAGTTCGTTGGCCGTAGAAACATTGAAAAGTGCTTGAGAAAATTCTGACTATCAAGACATCTTCTTTATTATATGAAAATAATACTAACATTCTAACAGAGATTATACACAAGTCAACAGAGGCAAAAGCTTTTCACGAAACTCGCACGCTTCAAGAATATCCAGTAACTGTAAATTTCCAATATTTGGTAGTTGTTTCACTTTGAAAATATAATTATCCAATAGCAATAAAGGTCTTTCTTTGTTATGAATTAATGAAATAAGTGACGATAATGGCTGGTCGACATCTGGTGAAGATAAAACAGCTTCGATCATGATGATTGACTTTTAGGAGTAGAGTAGTTATTTCTTCGAGTATTTTAATTAATCTCTAATAAGTATTATTCATCATTATTGCCTCTGAATGAAAAAAGCAATAATAAACTATAGATATCGAGAATCAGCATTTGCTATATATATCACTTTTGTTTTTCGATATTTTTCCTTTCAATCATTCTATATCACGCCTGAAGGTTTATTTTCCATGATGAAAATTTATTAAGTTTTATCTTTCGTAATTTATAAGATAACATTTTTTTCCGAAACACAATAAAATGAGGATAGTTCTCATATTTTATCTACGTGATCAAACTCCATTCAGAATAATTTTGCAACTTTTATATAATTAGAATAAAAAATTTACTCAGAAATGCTTTCTCTCTCATACCCTGTAATTTCATAGAAAGTATTATATATCAAATGACTTCCTTGCAATGTTTTATTCCGTGTGAGAGCCGAAGAGGCGGTATCGCTTTGAGGATCAGTTTCACTCTTCCGGTGTTTGTATATGTCTATGCTTCTAAAAATAGACGTTCTCACAAAATTATAAATAGCGTCTCTGAAAGAGAAAGTCTACATACAACACTGAATTTCTTCTACATAATGTGGATCTTTTTCAAAATGAATACAAAAGTATAAACTCGTAAAATATATATTGACTTGTCTAATATCTGTTTTCTATGCTACATTGTTCTCTAGACTATCTTATTTCAATATAAATATAATTAAAATGCACCTGACATGTCGATATTACGCAAATAATTTTCTATTAAATATTAATCTCAAGTAATTATTTTTTATTCTATGATGTCTCAAGAAACAAAAAGAATTCATTTTATTTACTTTTAACAAATTTTTCAAATTCCTTATCATTCATATTTTTTCCTTGTATTATAATATTATCGATATAGTTCGGTGTATTTGTACTTTTTGAATATTTTTCGATTATATCTGTCTGCATGCACACGGATTGTTTCTTTGATTGTAATACAATTGAATTCAGTGAGCATAAATTATTTTTTGATGGAGTCGATGTTCTTTTAAGCATCATTAACGAATAATAAAATCTTTAAAAAAAAAAAGAATTGTTATTTATGATGTGTATAGATTTTTACAAAAAAGAAAAAAAGAAAGAAATGAAGTGTTTTATTTTAGTTATATAATGAGGTATGCATATATGCAAAAGACAAATAACACATGCACCAAAAAGCTTTGATAAATGAAAGAAGCGAATCTAAGAAAAGAAAAACAATCAGATCTAAAGATGAATTGAGATATTTTTGATCCATTCTCTTTGAGAGAAAAAATAATATTTTACTGAATAAACTATGTTGATTATTAAAAATCTTTTTGTTTTTTTCTTATTCAGTTGGTCTTGTACGGTTAAGTGCTGATTGTAATTCACCTGTAAAATTAGCTTGTAATCGAACACGATTTTGAAAATTTTCTACATTTCTTAAACTATTTAAAATATCTTTTGTTTTACCAAAATAAATTGAATTAAGTGTTTGTCGAATTTTATTTTCCATTTCTTCAACCATTTTTCCAATATTAATTATATGTTGAGAAAAATCCGTTATTTGATGATCAGCTTCAAGTTGTCGTGTTAAACTTCCACCTAAATTCATCATACCTGACATTGTTTTATGTGTTTGTAACCAAAGCATAACTGTTGATGTTAATTTATAATGTGCTGTTCGACCACTTTGTTTTTCTTGTACTTCAATAACATGAATTGAATCCCAACAACCTTTTATTTTTTTACTGCCATCACCAACTTTTTTTATAAGTACAACACCAGCAAAACCATTTTCAAGATCCCAAAAATAAACCGATGAAACACCACCTTCAAAATACATTTCACGATATTGTTCAAATGCTTGATTTGCTTCGATTTCTAAATGACGAAGTCGATCGGACGGAAGATTTCCTATTAGCAAAAAAAAAAAGAAATCTACATGTCTTCATTTTTCAATATTAAATACATCAGACATTTTTTTTTTCTAATATCAATGTGATTACTCAATTTAGAAAATAGAATGATAAGATATAATATATTTCTAATTGATAGAAATAGTAAATTTCTTCAAAATTATGATAGCTCAAGGTTTAAATCTGAACTATTTGATGATCCGTGAGTCTTATTGATGATGAAAAACAAAATGTTGCCCTGACCTCATTGTTGCGTTAATTAATAGATATGAAATTCGGCAACACCCTACAGAAATGTTGTTACTTTTTTTGAAGGTCTCATCCCTATACTTTAGTGTTAATGAAAGAATATTCTGGATTCATCGGACAGAGTATAACGCCTTTTTATAGAAAATATCCGCTGATATGAAATAGAGCATTTTCGTAGGTGCCTGCACAACCTCATATCCATCAATTAACGCAATAATGATTCAGAACAAGTTCACTTTCTATCATTAATAAGACGCATTTGCCATCGAATAGTTCACATTTAAATCTAGAACAATTTATAATTTTCAAGAAATTTACTACTTCTATTAATTCGTAAAAAAGTTATATCAAAATATACTCTTATTAAATAACTAAAAGATGTACTCAAAAAAAAAACAGTTCTTTTTATCTTCGACTACTCGTTTGAAACGTATATCCTTGAAAATAAAATCCGAATCAACAAATATTAAAATACAGAAAGACCCCTTATTTCTGCAACACCCGTTAAAAATTAAGATGTCATACAAAAAGCGTTAACTCATTATGCAGTTGAATATTATCTGAAGAAACAAATCAGCTGTTAGTTAAGTATATTCATACGGAAGGATCATACATTGCACTGACAACATCAGAAATATTTTGTAACATCTGGAAAGAATTTCTTTGATTAATAATGTCTTGTATAAAATATGAAGCCGGACAGAGAATTCTTTCTATTCTTTATATCAAATTTTTATTTCGATTGAAAAATTTCTAATGAATTGATGTTCTTAATTCAAAAATTATTTCGAACAAAGTTTTATGTTGAGAAAATAAAAATAAAATATTTGGATGTATGTTTTTCCACTTATCTCTTCTAAAAAGAAATCGATGTTTTTCCTTTTTTTGAATACTCAAAATTTCTATTCATTTCGTTGAAATAATGGTTCCTTATTGTCTTTGTTTAGTCATCTTCATTCAATAATATCTAATCAAACAAACCATCAAAAGGTGGTGTATATGTATTCGTCCATGGTGATCGATATGAATCGCCATCACGATTATAATCACATAATAAATAATCTTTGCCAACAGTTCGATCACGAACAACTTTAAGTGGTTGATCAACAGCTGCTAAAAGTTCTTCAGTTAAATCAGGTACAAGATCAATTAGATCCGAGAGATTTTTTTCCACTTGTTGTGGTGGTAAACGTCTCATTAAATCGAGTGCACAATCTAATTGTGAATCGATTAATGTGTTTGATGTTGTTGTTGTACTAGTAGTCATCTGAAAAAAAAATTAATCAAGTTTTAGTGATACACACAAATACTTTCGAAGTCAATCAATTAAAAAGAACTGTTTCAAAAATATATCCTAATAAGATATATCTAGTTGTTTTTTAAGATCAGTTTAGAGTAATTTTTAGTTGACATAATAGTTCTAATAAAGTAGAACAATTTTGACTCTGTGTACTCGATCACGACGACCTATAAATCATACTATAATATCTTTTTTGAGCTGAAAAAAGCTGTTAGCACTATCTCTGCGAGATTAAAATGTGAAACACGATGTAGTTAATCTTGCTAACAGCAGGGGAATTGTTTTGATCTATTTATTTAAGGACATATTTCTTCAACGTCTGTTTACTGAACCTTCCAGAAATGCAATAAGAAAATAGTTCACACGACATTGTCCATCTACGGTCATGGATCATATATCAGTAACGTCTGTCATGCAGTAGCGGATCTAGAATCTTGGGAAAGTGATACTACCATGGTCATAAAATGTGTTGGCTCGTTTTTTAGGGTTTTCTGCTGAGAAAAGTTGAAAAATGTTTTAAATCGGGAGAGACGATCGCCCTCAGTATCCCTCTAAATCTACTAATGTTGTGATAGTCTCTAACTAGCGTCTGACACGATTTGTGGGGGATGGACAAATTTTCTCTCGTATATTTCAGTACTCCTTTTAGATTGTGTTTCATAATAAGACATCTATATCCTAAGATGAAGAATGATTCGATCAATAAAAGAAAATATTATTTTTTGAATAATAAAAATTTCTAACTTTCAAGTTAAATTCAATAGAGATTAAAGTGATAGAATAATTTATGTTTGATAATAATAAAATTCCAAGGACTTAATTTACATCAATAAAATTCTATAAAATCTGATCATTGTGTTGCCCATGATTATACTATTACTAATATCATTTTTTGAATCTAGAATATGAATTTTAATAATGAAAATAGATAAATTCGAATAATTGTCTTTCGTATCACGAAATTCAAATGCTTCTTGGTTATTTAATTTTTGTTTTGCTGATTTACACACACACACAGGTAGAAAACGATATAGAAGAATTTTGTATTGAAACATTACATCTTTCAAGAAATTGAAAGACATATAAAAGAAAATATTTCGAATACCGTCATGAAAAACTACAAACAAGAGAGAAAAAAAAATAGAAAAGAACACAGTTTCAACAACTACTGTGATCACAAAATCAATGGACAGCAAAAAAAACTTTTTTTTTAATGTACGTGTCTTAAAAAAACAATAATAGGAAAATAGAATTAATGTTGAATTTTTCTTTGCCTTTGTTTGTTTGTTTTTTTACTTATGAGTTTTAGGTATATTACGTAGCACCTGTGATGGAATAAATTTAAGAGCTGCTTTATTTGTCAAACCGGTTGAAGCCTGTTGCTGAAATTGCATTGTTGAAGATTCATGAGACATGAGAGGAATTGGTGGTAACTGACCTGGATCCATAGGTGGATTTTGCATTTGCATAGGAAATTGTTGTTGTTGTTGTTGTTGTTGTTCATAATTAAAAGGTATCGAAGTCATTACAGATCCAGTAGGATAGTTAATGTATCCGCCTTGAGGATGCAAATTATATGATGGAAAAGGACTTCCATGATTGAATTCATTACGAATCAGTGGAGCATCATACATAAGATTGAATGGTTCCATACCAGGTGGAAAATGCGGGTAAGATAATGGTTGTTGAAATTGTGATGGTGTATACATTGATGATTGCTGTTCAAATGGATACATTGGAACTTGTGGCATATTTTCACTAGGTTCATTCATGACTGAAATAAAATAATGAAAAAATTTTTATAGTGAGAAGAGAATGGAATTACGTACATGGAGCTTGAATGTATTGAGGTTGTATAGGTTCCCACATTTGTTGAATAGGTATTTGTGGACCTGAAGTTTGAAATGGTGGTATTGCTGGAGTAGTTTCGAATGATGATTGATAATTTCCTAATTGTTCAGAATCTTGAATGGCATGAAACAATAAAGAATCCGGTGTTGCTGTTGGTATAGTAATATTCATTGGTGTAAGTGTTAGTTTTGGATCAGACGAATTTTCGATAAATAATGGAATTGATGAAGGATTTTCTATTGAAATAGAAGGTTGTTCTATTGATGGTACAGGAGATGTTGAATCATCTGTAATTGGTTTTTGTTCCTTGACTTGAGTAAAATTTGGGTTGTCATGTGTAGATAATGGTGGTGCTGATTTTGGTTTTGTTCTTGTATTCTCATTATCTGAATCTTTTTTTACAATATTCATAGGTTCGTGTTGTCGAACTGTTGATATTTGTTTATATGAATATCGGTCTTCTATATGACTCGGAGGTACAGATTGTTGATGTTGATAATTCATTGAACGAAATCGAAGTGAATGAGAATAATTAAGTAAATGAT